TATATTCAAAATTTAAAAAAAAAAACAAAATTAAAGTAAAAAAATAAAATATATATATTGAAAACTATATATTATGTAAAATTATGCTACTTACCGAATGTTCAATTTTACCATACAAAGCTTCCCATTTGGAACCTTTTTGGTATCGTTCCATTCTATCCGGATAAAGATCCTCAAGCTCTTTTCGAATAATTTGTTCATATATTCGGTCGTTAGGATAAAGCCAATTATCAACAGCGATTTTGATCCCTTGCGTCACCCTTTCTATAAATTGCAATTAAAATATTAATAAATGTTATAATTGACAGAATTCTAGACAGCTATGTTGACATTATCCAAAATCTTAATAATTAACTTGCCACCCACGTATTGCTCATTATGTAATAACTTTGCAGCAGATATAATTGATTATATCTTATTTAATGTCAACACAGCTTATTAGAATTCCGTTGTTTCAGCTTATAATTTTGTAATGCATTGTGAAAATTAATATTCAAACATTGAAAACTGATAATGTAAGATTTTTATTCAGTAATTATTAGTAACAATATAGTTAATATACCTGCCACCATTCGTATTCCTTTTCCTTTGTCTTTGACTTTAAATTTTCATACGACACTTGTAAAGTCTTGACATTATTGGTGAGTTGAGTAAGCTTAATTTCTAATGCATCCTGCTTTTCCATAATCGAAGTGTTCTGCTCTAATATTCTTTTGGTTATTTCTAGTAATGAATTGGCCGATTGGCTTTCTTCATCTAAGACAATTAGTTTAAATAGTAAGTATTCGATTATAATATAAAGTATGACAAATTTCAAAAGTTACCACATTCTGGATCGATATAACGATTTTCTAATGTATTTGTTAAAATTTCATTAAGTGGGGGTCTCGATGGGCTTTCAGCAATTTCATTTTGAACATCGTCGTCGACAGCAATCAAACCATTATTATTGATGTTGTTTTTTTTTGTTGATGGTGCTTTGTTTACGCTCCTTAAGGCTTGAATAGTATAATCTTTGCTATTTCGTTGTCGTTTCGTAGTAGAAGTTGATGAGCCGGATTTTAGCGCTTCTAACACCTGAAAATAAAAAAAAAACAATGGAAGCTTAACAAATTTTTAGCACATATATAAAAGCTTAAAAATTATTGAACTACCGAATTAACTTCGCTACGTTCTGTATCGGGTTTTCGCTTTCGACTTTTAGAAGACATAATATAGGTTCTTAAGAAATTGTAATCACCATGAATTATATTAAATCAAATTAATAGTAGATGCGAAATACATATTACGTAATAAATAAAAATAATGCAAAGGGTTAGATTTAAAAGACCACATATTTTGCAAAAAAAAAAAATTTATTACATTACCATTCACAATTGCTATATTACTTTTCGTTATTTTGTTTCGACCATATAATTTGATAGTTTTAAAGTTACGTAAAGTACTTTTGGTCCAAGTAAAAGGATAATACTACAATGTGTTTTTTTTGATTGCAATAAAGCACGTACATATAAAAAACCCCGGTTTATTTTTCAGAAATGTTATTAAAATTCAAATGACTCGGATATTTAGTTAAGGTATAATAAACTACAAAACTTCTCTTAGATAACGAACAGTAAGCCAATGAATAAAAGAAACTTAACTATGAATATTAGGAAATGAAATTTCGCTCTTATATTTAATGAGAACTTAAAAGTGTTTCGTGAAAGCTGTGGCAAAGTAAAAATATAAAGAATGGTCAGCAATAACATTAAAGATAATATAAATAACTTGAGACTTGGTGTAACATACATAATCATTCGATCGATCAATCCTGTAATTACCGTATTGGTCTATTACTAATTATGATCTAACTGTATAACATATTCGAATATTCTGTTGATTATTCGATTTTATATATAATAGACTGGAATATTCGATTCTAACTGTTTGTATTAATTAATAAATCATGGATACGTAATATCGAATGATGTATTTCGATTTAGATTTACATATAAAAGCAAAAAAAGGCTTTGAAAGGTTCTTATAGTAAAACGAATAACAAAAGGTAAATCTAAGATGTTTATAATTAGGTTGTAATAAGCTACTGTTTGATTATTAAAATTAATTTTGAATATAAGATTTAAGTATCTATAATTTATTTAAATTGCTAGTCATTTTCAATGTTTAATTGTCGTGTATGTAAAAGAAGATTTGATCGTCTAACAAGTCTTGAAAATCACAAAAAAATTCATGAAAATTATTATCAAGCTGAAAATGGCACTGATACCAGCACAGATGACACCAGTACAGATGAGAAAGTTGAATACGTTACTGACACCAGTACAGATGAGAAAGTTGAATACGTTACTGACACCAGTTTAGATGAGAAAGTTGAATATGTTACTTACACCAGTTTAGATGAGAAAGTTGAATACGTTACTGACACCAGTGCAGATACCAGTGCAGATGAGAAGTCCGTTACTGATACTAGCATGGATGAAAATGTGAATGTTTATAGTTTTGATGAATTAGAGATAATAAGTGAAGAAGATAGTAAACAAATATTCGGTAACCAAGACTTCGTTGATGAAACTAGCATGATATTTGATGTCCAAGATATTGTCGAAAATCAAGATATTCTTGACCGAAATATCGCTTGTGAGACCGGTCAAATATCTGAAGAGTATATAGTAGAAAACATCCAGGAGGCTATTAATGAATTTTGGAGTGATGATAGTTATTGTAGTGACGCTAATGAGGCAAATAGTGCGGTCTTTCCACATGCTGCATATCGAGATTTTGATCAAATAGTAAGTGTTATAATTTTAACATACTCTTTTATAATGAAATTTGTTGTATTAAAATGTAGAATCTAAAGACTTTAGTGTTTATTATCATTTTTAGGTAATTAAATATCAGCTATCTCA